ATGATTCCATTTCTAAGAAATATTCAGAACAGGCAAATTCATTGAGATAGAAAGTAGATTAGTGATCTTCGGGAAATGAGGGAGGGCAGACATGGGGAATGGCTGCTGATGGGAAAAGGGTTTCTTTTGAGGGTAATAGAAACGCTCTGGAATTAGATAGTGGTCACGGTTTCATAAGACTGTGAATTGCTAAAATCCACTGACTCATACACCTTAAAATGGTGAATTTTGTCCTCGAGAAAATTTCAGGGAAAATTAGGGGATATAATAATAATAAAATAATTAATGCATATCTTTAAAAAGAGAGAGAAAGAAAGAGAGAGGAAGGAAGAAAGAACCCAATCTAGAAAGATCTGTGTCTTCCTTGGCCCCTCCATACAGGACTGATTCTGTGGCCGGACCACAGGGCCCCTCTGGGAGTTCAAGCAAAGCAGCAGATTGAAAGTCTGCCTTGGCCCCCAACCCCCTGGACAGGGGTCTGAGTGCCATTTCACCACATCTCCTAACAGTGAAGAGGAACAAGAGCCCGACATAGCATCTTTAAATTCACCAAGTGATGTGATGTACATTATCTCACTGAGACTTAAGGGTGCTTGTTAAGTAAACATTTTCCCTGTCTATTAAAAAAAAAGCCACACATTAAATTTAGAAAGAATGAAAGAAACAGAAAACATAGATATAACCCATTATCTACCAACTCAAGAGGTTCTGTGCAGACCCTTTCCTATGGAAATGACATTTTTGGATACTTCAAAGCTTCTGATTATGTGAGCAAGCATCAGCAGAGCTGGAGTGATCCCTGGGCTGGGTGCAAGCAACAAGGAAGACAAATTGTATCTGGCCTCCAGCACCTGGCAGATTTGAGACTTTCCACCTGATTTTTACATTGCTCCTGACCTTCCCTCCTGCTTAGACCCAGCTCATACACTCTGTAAAAATCCAATCCTTAACCCCCCTCTCTCTAAATAATATTTTTATTTCTTAACATACTCAGGAACTTGAAAAATTATTATCAGGGTAAAGAAGGCAAAAATCGTTCCTCATGGACCCCTTGGCTAGCAGCATTGTGACAGCAACATGGGTGTGGGGATATTCTATTAGTGGTGGTACCTGGGGGCATTCTCTTTTTCTGTAGCACAGTGTTCTTCATGGCATAGATTTCCAGGCTAATGCTTTTCTTGTATCCGTGGTCTGCACCTGGAGGAGGACCTTCCCCACCTCTTAAAGGAGTTGAGCCTCCCCTAAGCTACCCAGTCTGAAGGGAAAGCTGCCCATGTTGGCCCCTCTGATAGTGGCCCTATTGCTGCACCCTCTGTCTTACAGCCCCCAGTCTCCAGAGTGCACTGTCAGATGTTTCTGCCTCCAGAGACAGTGCTTGCCTACAACCTGGAGGTGGAGAGGAGCCCAGCCAGGTCCTCTCATGTACAAAAAAGAGGCTCACTCTCCCTCAGTGTCGATGGCTACAGTGGCAGTCTAGAGGGGGATCTCTCCTTCCACAATGTGGCCTTCTATCCAGGACAGGAGAGGAAAGCCCAGTGTGGACATGGCCTGTACTGACACCATCTCTAGTTAATCTCATCTCCACAGACTGTGGACAACTTACACCCAAGCTCCAGTTGGGTAAATCTTCACCAATTTCACATCATACACAATCCATCCATCCATTTCCCTGACTCCATCCCCCAAATCATCATCATGTACTGTCAGCTACTAAAGGGTGCTACTCAAAAAGCCGCCCAGTCGTGTTTTCACAATCACTCTGGCTGTCCGACACATCATTTTTTTTTTATGCTTCAGAAACTCTGGTTATTTTTTTAAAATGTCATTTTCAGACTTACTACTGGAATTAGAGATATATGATCCAGTAGCCTCAGCATGACCTGCGTGCTTATCAGAAATGCAGAATCTCAGGGCCCCCTCCCAGACTCACCTAAAAAGAAACACCACTTAGAATAAAATTTTAAAATGGACGTCATATTTCAGAGCAGTTTTAGGTTCATAGAAAAAGGGGGTGGAAAATACAGAGGTTTCCCATGGACTCCCTCCCCATACATTCATAGCCTCCTCTACCATCGACATCCTAGACCAGAGTGGAATAGTAGGTAGAGTCAAAGAAGCTGTGCTGACCCATCACTATCACCAAAGTCCACAGTTCACTTCAGAATTCATTCTTGGTGATTTATGTCGATGGGTTTAAAAAAATATATAAAGACTTATAACCATCATTGTAGTATTTTGCAAATCAGTTTCACTTCTCTAAAAAATTCCCTGTGCTAGAAACTGCACTTTTAACAAGACCCCCTGGTGATTGATACGCATAAATCAAGTAACAGCACCAACATAGACCATGCCAGTCTCTTGCCTAAAACTCTCCCATGGTTTCCTGGTGCTGTGCAAATAACACTCTGATTCCTGATTATGGTCTGCAAGTCCTGAAGGGCCCCGGGCTTGACCTCCTCCCAGTTGTGACATGCTCCATCACTAACCCTTTGCAGGTCCTTGCTCACTCTGCAGTTCCCTTCACAGGGGAAACCAGCACTTCCTCTGAGAGTGCCTGTACCTTGCCTTCAAAGCACTCATCTCTGTGTGGTCACACATCGAGTGCAGTGATTCAGTGCATTCCTCCTCTTCTTCCTCCCAATGGCCATAAATGGTCATGCAAGGGTCACGACCATTTTGCTCACAATATGAGGAGGACCCGGGAGGACCAAGAAAATAATCCTGTGCATAGGAGATGCCCACTGTTTACTGAATTAAATAATTAAACAAAATAATGAATAGTCTTACCAGTGCCCTTCACCTTGATACCTTTGATCAGGCTATTGTGCTGCCCAGAATCCTCTCTCCAACAATCATCCTTCATCAACACAAGCCTGCTCCCGCTGCTCTAGGCCACCCTGGACTCTCCTTCCCAGATTTTTACAGTCAAGACTCAGGACCTCACTGATCTTTGCTTGCTTTTTGTGGTGAGTTTTGCTTTCCCCAATTATATGCAAAGCTCTTTGAGAACAGGAATTCCAGGCTCATCTTTTATGGCCTACCTGGCCCAAAGTGTGTGTTCAGGCCTCAGATGCTATCGGATTGGTTTGTTGACTTGGCAACAGCGAAATCTGGATGTTAAGTAGAGAACAAGGTACTTTCCTGAGCACCTTCTTAAACTCAAAGCTCTTCTTTTGTTTGCCTCTGACTCATTTTTCTGAGACAATTACTAAAGACTTGGTTTAGCTTTTCTTTTGTGTTTCTTTCTCTCTTTTTTAATAAATTATTTTTTAGTTGTAGTTGGACACAATAGTTTTATTTTATTTATTTTTATGTGGTGCTAAGTATTGAACCCAGGGCCTCGCACGCGCTAGGCGAGCACTCTACCACTGAGCCCCAGCCCCACCCTCTTTCTCTCTCTCTTTTTTTTTTTATTAGTTGTTCAAAACATTACATAGCTCTTGACATATCATATTTCATACATTTGATTCAAGTGGGTTATGAACTCCCATCTTCTTTCTCTTTTTTAATGTTCTCCCTCCTCACGCCTATTTCTGGGTTTAAGATTCTAGATTGGGAATGCATCCCCAATTTCCCAGAAGAAAACTGTAACTTTACACCTTTTGGAAAAATAATATAACCATCAAATATATACAAAATCTGATGTGTAAACTGTGAAATGTTTACATGGTTTTCTTGGTTTTGCGATGGTATAAAAGAGCAAGCCTTGCAACTCAGAGAAGAAAACTTAAAATGACCACCAATGCAGTCAGGTCATCTGTGTGCCCGGCTCCTCTTCCCTCCCTACCTTTCAAACTTAGGGATTCTGGGCAGGACTTTAACTGACAAAGACCTTTGATAGAGCTCTGCAGACTGGCAAACCATGAGGGCACCCAGGTCTTCTCTGTTTTTGAGAAACAGGGCGTAGCCTCCCCCCCACACTTATATCATCAACTAAAAATAACTAAAGCCAGATGCAGCGGTCCACGCCTTTAATTCCAGCGTCTTGGGAGGCTGAGGCTGGAGGATCAGAAGTTCAAATTCAGCCTCAGCCACTTAGCAAGGCCTGAAGTAGCTTAGTGAGACCCTGTTTCAAAATAAAAAAATAAAAAAGAGCTGGGGATGTGGCTCATTGGTTAAGAGTCCTGGGGTCTATCCCTGGTATCAAAATAAAAATAAAAATAAAATAAATAAAAATAATTAAAATATAATTTTGTCCTAATTCTGAAACTACTTAATGTCATAGGCCAATTAACCCACAAGGCACAATAATAAATATTAAGAGAAAGATTGAACTTTAAGAAGATTATATTCCTCAACCATTCTCCCTGCCCCCTGCCAGTTGAAGGGATCATTATTGTTCAATTTTTGAGGCAGAACGTATCAGCTGAGCTGTAGCATAGAGATGTAGTTTGGAAACCAAACGTCAAGGCCAACACCTTGGAGCATCACAACATGCAAATGAATACCTAGTATTCATTGAAAAGGCCACAGCTCTAAGCTAGTCTTTGGAATCGGCTTCACGGTGGCACACGCCTGTAATCCCCGCAGCTTGGGAGGCAGGAGGATCCCAGGTTTAAAACCAGACTCAGAAACTTAGCGAGGCCCTAAGCAAATTAGTGAGACCCTACCTGAAAATAAAGTGTAAAAAAGAGGTGGGGATGTGGCTCAGTGAGATGTGGCTCAGCGGAAGGCGCCCCTGTTTTAAATCCCTGGCACCAAAAAACTCCACAAAACAACAACAATAACAACAATAACAAAAAAACACATACTCCCCACCTCTTTCTTGAAAGCCTGGAATCTTGAGTTAATCTGGCCTCTAACTTGCTGTGTGGTCGTAAATAAATCCAACAACCTCTCTGGACCAGTTTCTTAGCTCTAAATCATTGTGGAACACCCTGAATGTGTCCATTTTAGCTCTCAAAGGTGACAGAAGCGGTGGTACAGAGAACAGCTCTACTTTTCTCTTAACCCCAGAGATATTAGGTGAAGACTTAGTTAAGTTCCTGAACGTTGCTTACCCGAAGAGAAGTGGAAAAGAGCAGCAAGCAGCACCATGAGCCAAGAGACCTTGGGGAGTGTCTTCCACATCAATATGGGATCCATGAATGCAGAGGCTCGGGATGGACCACCAAAGCCAGTGATCCAGAACCAAGAGGTTTGGGGCACCTCCTAGCACACAAAAGGGAGTTAAACAAGGCAGCAGAGCAGGCCTGGTGGTGCACACCAGGCAGAGGCAGAAGGTGATTCAATTGTTCCACTTAGAGGGTTCAAGGGTGATGGTTCCAACACACACTGACAAGGATGGAGAGTGCTCTTGAGTCTCCAGAGATTGTGGATTTATTTCCAGAAGCTGAAACAGAAAATAGTACAAGTCACCCAGGAAAGAAAGTCTGTCTACTGTGGGTTGAAAACCCTCCAGTCGCCTACCTACAATAAGTCAGAGCTCTTAACTTGAGTGACCTCTAAACCTGGGCGTGAGCACGAAGGGAAAACAAAGGTTGAGAGAACTCTGTGAGGAGGCGACCTTAATCAGTCACCCTGACGGTTTTAAGAACCAACCACAGCTCTTCTGTGAAATGGCTTTCTAGTTATTAGGTGTGGTTAACTTTGTTCCCACCAGAGCACCCTAAGGACCTTCAAAAGCTGTTAACCAACCCTGGAAAGCTCAGATCATCTTCCAGACATACCCAGGAACACAGAGCCACCGGCAGGGCTGCGTGTGTCCAAGGGGGTCGGTCATAAGTCCTGAAACAACTTTCTCAACATGCTAACAGAAAAACGAGCGTCTCGATTCTCGAACACCACTCAGATGTTTCCTGCAGGGGCAGAAAAGCCATCAACAGAAACCTCTACCAGTCAAAAGGGAGGAAAGAAGAGACACAGTGCAAACATTGCTTATTTGTATCATGTGGTGTAACTTGAACAGGCTGGGGTGTTTTTTTTTTTTTTTCCCCAGTAAATGCATCAAAATTGAGAAATGAAAATGTCTACTCTGCTCCTCGGTCACCCCTCAGTCTCTTCCCAGCAACTCACTCCCCTGTGGACCGGAGGGTGTGGGCTTTCCTCTTGCATTCCCACCATCCCAGATTGTCTCATTAGCCACAGTCCATGTCAACCAGGATCCGCCTGGAGGAACTTAGTCACCAGGATTTTGTTGATATGCAAAACTCAAATTCAGCCTACAAAAATATTTGCTACCATCTCGGAAATTTAAGAGTCATGGGCCACACTGCTGAAGGTGATTCTCTAAAGGCGTTGAGAAGCCACAGACTCTTTGGGGACTGAGAGACTCCAGAAGCCTCTTCTGGGGACAAATGTGGGCCCTGGAGGCAGTCATGGTGGTGTGTTTGTTCTAGAAACAGTCAAGTTGTTGGTAACCAATTCTACCAAGCTACCCTGTAGTAAGATAATAGTAAATGTACTTACTTGCTGGAGAAAAGAAAATCCTCTTTTGTGTTAAAAGTCAAAGGATGACACCCAGCTTCAGCGAAGTTCTCTTCTTGCTGTCTCACAAGTAATGGCAAGTCACCAGAGGTGGCATTTCCCCCTCCCAACTTCCCTTTATTTGAAGAGGACTGAGTTCACTCATAAATACGTAAGTCAAAGCTGGGGCTAGAGAGGGTGTTTTAGGAAGGTTCCTCTGCTTTGCTGCTCTCTCAGCAGCCTCCTGGGAGGGTGTGGCCTGGGCAAGTCACCCAGCTGCCCTCCCCACCACCAACTAGCAAACCTAAGCACCAAAGATTCTGGGCGCTTGAGGATGAGGAGAGGAGGAGAGGCACCATTTTGAGGAAGGGAGCAGCCTAGACTTGCCTGGGCAATGCTGGGGGAGATTTATGGGCTTATTATTTCTGTGCTGGTCTCCAGTTTTGTTTCCATGGTCAGAATTACTCTTTCCTAGTCACTAGGGTTAGGCCGCTGCAGGAATGGTCATCTACCCAACACACAGTGGCCACTTTGGGGAGTTTGCTCAGCTCACAAGACTGCCCCCTTAACTGCAGCCCTCTGCCCCCATGTCCCTTCTATCTTCACAGAGCTGGCTCCTGGCAGCCAGTTGGACAGTGGTTCCATTTATTCTTACCATGGTTAAGTGCGCCTCAGGTGAGCAAGGTGATAGCACCAAGGGGTGAGGTGAGGAAGATTTCAGTTCCTACCCACCCCCCCCCCACCCCCCGGCCCCACCACAATTTCCATCTGCCCACTACTCCTATGCCCCTCTATGTAGGATTCTGATCAATCTGGACCACAAACCTCTTTGTAGGTAGAACCTGACAGCCCCCAGCAGGGGCCTGTTCTTTTTTCTCAATCTATTTCTGGCTCCACCAAGACCTTCTCTGTTGCCTTGGCACAGAGAGACCCTTGGGGGTTCTGCATTCAAGCATGTGGACCCAACGTGAGGAAGTCAGAGCCCAAGGCCTTCACTTGACCAAAGGGGGCTGGAAACAGATAGTAGCTGCTCCCAGGTGGAGCATCTGAGAGACGTTTCATGAGACTCCCCAGAAGGCCCAGGTGGGTTGAATACCCATTGCTTTGAGGGTGGTCAGCCTGGCAAGGCTTCTTGCACTGGCTTTCCCTCCTTCCCTGAATCGCTCTCTGTCCTCCATCACTGGGCTCAATTTTTCAAACAAACTGTTTTACTCAGGACTTTCTCTCTAGCTTTGCTTTCCAGAGAATCTAGGCTAAGACCAGGTATTGGTATGTTAGAGAAACATAATTTTCCTTCTAAAGTAAAATTGCAAAAGTAGTATGATGTGTTGGTGAGCTGGGCGTGGTGGTGAATATTTGTAATCCCAGCGACCCAGGAGGCTAAGGCAAGAGGATCAAAAGTTCAAAGCCAAGGCTGGGGTTGTGGCTCAGTGGTAGAGCTATTGCCTAGCGTGTGTGAGGCACTGGATTCGACTATCAGCACCACATATAAATAAATAAAAATAAAGGTTCATACACAGTGAAAACTATTTAAAAAAAAAAGTTCAAAGCCAGCCTTAGAAATTTAGTGAGCAAACTGAGTGAAGCAATTTAGTGAAGCAACTTAGTGAGACCCTATCTCAAAAATGTAAGAATTTAAAAAATGGCTGGGGATGTGGCTCAGTGGTTAAGCACCCCTGGGTTCAATCCTGGTACCCCAAAAAAAATGTAGTAAGGTGAATTTGGAGAAAGAAAAAAAGAAAATGATAGTAGATATGGTGCATAAATGTGGCAAACATGGTAATATAATACAGAAACATCTGAACTATTGACTTAAAGCTATTAGAAAACAAGCTTTTTTTGAAAAAAAAAATTCACAGTTTGAGCTGTTATGCATTCTATGTTTGTCAGCATTATCGTAGGCATTGAGATCTCTTTAAGTAAAAAACAGGGGTGTTAGGCCTACAGATGTGCCTAGGGTAGGGAGATGTGAAAATATCCTCAAAATGGAAGAATAAAGATTTTTCCACATGGGGATTGGGCTTAGGCTCTGTTCAGGCCTGGGGATGGCCAGCATGGACCTTCTCTAAAAAGGATACATCCCACACCTCTGCAAATCATTGTCTGCATGTAAGGCAAATCTTTTGCAGAGTGAGTGGCAGCTCATATGATGTGATCTAACAGGTCCACTTCCCAAGAATCCCTTCTGCTGGCAGCCACCAGTTCATGTGTTTCCCTGCCAGAAGAGGCATTCATTTGAGTTAAGGAAGGCTGGGTCTTCAAACTGAGTTACTGCTATCCTGTGGGGCACCTGACCATTTTCAAAGGGTATAGGGTTTCAATAATTTTAAAAGAATCAGTTTCCACATTTTCACTTTCTTTATGTATTCCTTCCTAAAATTTTCCTACGGCAAGAAGGATTTTTTGGCCTTCTCCCTATTTAAAAAGAAACGCTTATCCTTTACCCAATTTGAATCTGATTGTGGTAAAATGTTCGGGGAAAAAATACAAAATACTTCAGGGTGTGTCAAGTAAAGGCACAATTTGAAATGTAGTGTTTTAATCAATCTGGTCTCCTTAAATCAAGATAACATGTGCCCAAGGTAGGGTTTTGTGTCCCTCCTGTTTTGTCCATATTTTTACTAAGTAGAAAATGGCATTGGAAATAGATGTATTGTAGACTGGGATAGCAGGATAATGGCAGCTTTTATTCAATGAACTTTGTCTCTCCTACTTCCTGTGCACGGTCACAGAAACTAGCCCCCACCCCCACCCCCAACAGCCAGAAGAGCAAACAGAGCCTGGGAGAGAGAGAAAAAAAAAAGGGGGTGTGTGTGGCAGGGCTTTGAGGACTACTGCTCTATTTGCCTCCAGTTTGGCATATTGAAGCTATGGAAAGAAGGCCGCACACCTTGTGGTGCAAGGACCACACTACATTATTCATCTTCTCTATAAGACGGGGCCTGATGAGCACTCTCATTCACCCAGGTCTTGGCCTGTGTCTCAGATGCATATTTGAATAATTACCAGGAGGAAGGATGTAACAGCTTCTGCCTTACCTCTAGGAGAGCAACAGTACATTTTCAAGTAAAAGGTATATATCAGAGGTAAGTGTGTGTTTTATATTCTCTTGAACATTTATCCAGATCTTAGAAAAGGTATTTTTGCTGATTTTTGCCAAATTTGTGCCACTTTCGATTTTGCACATTATGTTTAAGAACGATGTAACTTTTCTCTAAAAGGAAAATGGCATAACACGTGGGAAATTATATCTTTTGTAGATATTTAAAATAATGTAAAATTATAGATGTCTTTTAAATGAGTAAGGAAATTCACAGTTTTATATATTTCATTCGACAATATTTGAGCAAACATTTCAAAGGCCACAAGACACACTCAAGTTTTAAGAGTTCCAGTAAAATCCGCTGTGTTCTGGGGAAGCACGTGTTCAACAATCTTTGCCATCAGTGCCTCAGTGTGAATTTATCAGAGAGGCTGGAAGGAAAGCGCCACGTGTTAGGTACTTTACAGCTGGTTCCTGCTTCCTGATTGTAAAATACAGAAAGCCTCTCTTCCAAGACTTTGTACTAATAGGATGTGGTGCATTAATACATGCAAATTTATAAATATATTTATGAAATATTATATATATATAATTACTTGGTTGCTGGGTGTGGTGGCACATACCTGTGAACCCAGCAACTCCAGAGGCAGAGGCAGAAGGATTGCCAGTTTGTGGCTAACCTTGGCAATTTAGTGAAATTCTATCTCAAAAAAAAAAAAAAAAAGAATAGAAAGGGCTGGGAATCAAGCTCAGCGATAAAGTACCCCTGGGTTCAATCCCTACTGCGTGCACATGCATACACACACACACACACGTAAGAAAGAGTATGTCCATAATCACAATGAGAATAGAATAATCTGTGGACAAAAGATTTCTAAGGTAAATTTTTGGAGACTGCAAAGTGGATGGAGGTAATGTATGAGATAGCACAAAGAAAACCAAAGTCTGAGCTCCTGGATGATCAAAAGGAAAAATCAGTTGAAAGAGTTCAAAGGAGTTTGTTCTAGGAGCAGGCCTGCAGTTGCTGCTCAGTTAAGTTCTTCAGCCCCACTGATATTCAATCCACTCATAGTTTTACTTTGCAAAAAGCAAAAGAAATTATGTTTTAAATTGTTAAGGAAAAAAATTAAAGTATAAATTTGTAAAAGTATTTTTTATAATCCTGGGTCGAGAGAGCAAGACACAAAACCTGGAAGCCATGAAAAAGAAAGGCACATAAATTAAAATTCATCCTAGTACAAATATTTATACAATTAAAAATATCAAAAATGAAATTATGCAGCATGTGGTGGCACACTCCTGTAATCCCAGCGGTTCCAGAGGCTGGGGCAGGAGGGTCACAAGTTCAAAGCCAGCTTCAGCAACTTAGTGAGGCTCTGTCTTAAAATAAAAAATAAAAATGGGCTGGGGATGTGGCTCAGTGGTTAATAACTCCTGGGTTCAATCCCTAGTACCAAAAAAAAAAAAAAAAGAAATTAAGACAGTTACAGACTGGGTGTGTGATAGAGAGCCCTCCAGGAAAGGACAATTAGAAGGGAGATGCAGCCCTGCCATTTAGAAAGCACCTGATGGTATGTGTGGGCAGGCCTCATCCTGGCTCTGTCCCCTGAATGACATGAATTCTCTAGAAATGATATTTACTCTTTCCTCTCTTGGCCTTAGAGTTGTTTCACTGCCTCCAACTGATAATGCCAGGCTGAGCTCAGACCTCTTACTCTTCCTTCTAGAGTTCCCAGGGCAGGGAGGCTTTGGAATTCCTGTGAATTTCAACTATTTGCATATTGACTACCCAGGGTCTAAGATCCTGGGTCCTACTAGATGCTGGGGAAAACCCCTTTCCCACTGTGGGTTCTCCGCTGCCAAGGAAACAAAACTCATTATTACAGTGACAAAAATTTTCAGGGAAGTTTTGTTTTTCATTTTCAACATGATCTTCCCAGGGGGTCTAGAAGTTCATTTGGGGGTATGAAGAGTCTTGGCGGTGAAGAGTCACAAGAAGCTCTCTGGGTACTGTTTCAAGACACGCCTGGCAACCAGCACCCTGATTTCTGCCATGTAATATGACCACAATGACCTTCAGCTTCTCAGAACCATGTCTACAAAGTCTTCACCCGGCTCACAGTGGCCAG